ACAGTATTGCTAAGCCTTGACGCAGAAAAAGCGTTTGATAGGGTCAATTGGACATTCCTTTACCAAACTTTAGAAAAATTTGGCTTTAACAAACAATCAGTTGAATGTATTAAAATGCTCTATCAACAGCCAGAATCAAAGTGAATGGGTCGCCATCACCAGCAATCACATTGGAAAGGGGGACTAGGCAGGGTTGTTGCCTCAGTCCGACGTTATTTGCCATCTATATTGAACCACTGGCCCATGTAATTCGACAACATGAAAATTTACAAGGCATCAAAAAAAGGACATAGTGAACACTTAATTAGTTTATTCGCGGATGACGTTATGATTCACTTAACGGAACCTGAGGCCTCCCTTCCCATATTGATGAAGGTCTTGGAAGATTTTAACTATCAAGCAGGTTACAAACTAAATGTTACAAAGACACAATTACTAACATTTAATTATGTTCCCTCAGAAGATATCAAACAAAGATATGACTTGAGATGGGACATGACATTGATAAGGTATTTGGGGGTGAATATTGTAAGAAATCAAAGTAAGTTATATGAGGTGAACTATAACCAGGTAATCCAAAACATCAGACAAGATATTGAGCGATGGACCACATACCCGTTGGATTTTGGCAGTAGGATTAATGTCATCAAGATGAACATTTTACCCAGACTGCTGTACCTATTCCAAGCTCTACCAGTAGAGGTCCCACAGAGTCAGTTTACAGCCTGGGACAAACTTATATCTAGGTTTGTCTGGGATGGAAAGAGACCTAGAGTGAGATTTGCAACACTTCAGTTAGCCAAACATAAAGGAGGAATGGCTCTCCCAAGTTTGAAAGAATATTTCTATGCAGCCCAGTTCCGATATCTGTTTTGTTGGTGTAATGACAATTATATAGCAAGATGGAAGGAAATTGAGACATATTTTAAAGGTTTTCAGGTTCAATTGGTATTAGGGGAAAAGGGAATTCCCTCTGTTATTAAAGATAAAATAGATTCAATAACTGCTGGCATGCTAGAATTCTGGTTTAAATTTGTCAAACAATTCAAATTATGGAAAGACCAGAAAGTACTCAGATGGATAGCCTTTGACACTCTGTTCGAACCAGGGGAAGGTGATGTCACATTCAAACAGTGGACAATAAAAGGTATTAAGACAACAGGTACGGTAATAGAAAATAAAGAATTGCAGAGTTTCCAAACATTAAAAGATAAGTTCGGCCTACAAAACAGTGTTCTATTCAGATATATACAATTTAGGGATTACTATAATAAGGAAGTGAAAATGGAGAGTACACAAATGATAAATTCAGTGATAAATGTCATGCTGAGTGCATATAAATTTAATAGTAATTGTACCAAAGTAATCTCCAGGTTTTATGAGAGTCTTATGGAATGTAGGGGCAATTCAACATTATATCTGAAATCAAAATGGGAAGACAAATTAGAAGTGGAAATTACATCAGATGAATGGTATGACATATGTGAACTCCAACACACTGGCTCACAACAATGGAAGGTGTTTAATTGGAAAAACTTGGTTCGTTTTTTTATTATGCCTAAGATCCAAAGTAAAAGATTATCAACACCTCAGCCCTGTTGGAGACAATGTGGTTCCTTAAATGCACATCATACACATATTTTTTGGAGTTGTGTAAAACTGAAATCATTTTGGGAGGATGTACACTCAGTTTTGATCAAGGTGCTTGGATATAAGATTCCAATGACATGTGTTACTTTGTACTTGAGACACATTGCACCAGTGGTGCAGATGGAAGATCGCTGTTTGGCTAAGGTACTTCTTACAGCTTCTAGGAAAGCCATTACTAGAAACTGGTACAAACTTGAATCTCCTACCCGGAACCAGTGGCTGGACATCATAAAGAAAATATGGACAATGGAAAAACTGACTCATGTACTACATTTGAGGGAAGGCTTGTTAGCGAAAAGATGGCAGAAGTGTACAGTTTATTTAGAAAAAGTATAAGGATACTGCCACACTGTATGTAAGCACCTTTTTGAGGAAGACAATTACTGGAAGGGGAAAAAATGTCTTTCTTTATTAATGTATTCTCCCACAAGCTTTATGTTCTTTAAGCACATTTTTTCTTTTCTCTTTCCCTTTTTTCCCCTTTCTTTTTTTCACTTTACTTTGCTTTTATTATGTTCAATTATTGTATCTACTCAGGTGATTTTGTACTCTGAGCAAAAAATATGTGCAATTGTGTTACCTTAAAAACCCAATAAAACTTAAGTGACAAAAACCTCATGGTGTACAGCATGAAATAATAAAGTATACAAAAAAGAAGAAGAAATGATCGTCCTTCTGGCTGTTGCCACTGGTAACAGCCGCTCACAGTCTCCTCTCCTCTGCCAGCATCACAACAACACCGTGGTTGAATAGTGCTATATGCTATATGAGGTACAACATAATCCTGACACAGGATCCCTCAGAGGTCTGTGCCTCAAGTGACTGCTGCCTTTTCCTAAAGGGTTTAGTATAAAGTCTAGGGGACATCACAGACCAGGGAAAATCAGATAAGTAGTGGCTTTGGGTGCTTAACTAAACATCAAAGGTTGTGTTGGACTTAGAATAGATTCACATTTATTTGACAAACAAACGTCAGAAACATGTTATTTTGCAGGTTGTGTAATTTCCTGATAGTTTCCTTAAAAAGTCATCAAAAAAGTATTACATAATTGTTAAAAAGGAAATGACTTCAAATACCGCCCTCCATCTCAGCCACTGTGACTATTAATTGTAACTTTACTATTCAAGTGTGTAAACTGTTTGCTTGCCTGCAGAGAAATGATCTTAAATGTCAGCATTTATAGCTGAACTGAATACTCAGTTATGCTTGCAATTAGTTTAGAGTACCAACTGATCTGCTGCGATTAGTAGGCCTGTCACAACTACTTTTCTTGGACGATTTATTGTCCCAGAAATAACTGATAAATGAGATCCTCATTTTAAGACCATTTCATGTCACTGATATAATAAAATACAATAGCATAATAATGCAAGTACACCCTTTCAAAGAGCAATTAACTTTTAATTCACTGTGAAAAAAGGCTGTATATTCTGTCATCATGCTGGCCACACTTTTGGTGACATTCTTGTATACACAAACATGCACGTAAACAACCTCCATAAGTCAATATAGAGATAATCGTGACAATGGTGACTAATGGTTATTAAATTAATTGAATATTTAACCAAGAGAAACTAAATCAGCAACTATTTTCAAAATGACTTAATCGTTGAAGTCATTTTTCAAACAAAAATGCCCAAAAATGTGATATTTCCAGATTCTCAAATGTGAGGATTTGCAGCTTTCTTTGGTCTTACATTATAATAAATGCAATATGTGGGGTTTGTGAATGGTGGTTGGATAAAACAAGACATCTGATTAAGTCATTTTAGGCTCTGGGAATATAGTAAAAGGCTGATCTCACTGTTTTCTAATGTTTTGTAGACCAAACGAGTAATGTTAATTGAGAATATAATCTACAGATCAATCTGTGGGTATCGATTTTTCCCTATAAAAATACAGTCATATTTGTTCCTTTCTAAGAATATATTGGACCTATAAAATGAGGCATCACTGGAAGATCTTCATATGGCTTTTGTCAGTCTTGAGGCTTGCTGATTTGGTTTTAATTGAAACTCATTTTTTGCAGGTTACAAACACTTTGATCTGATGCCCATGTCTCTTGTGTCGTTTATCCTGCACACTGCAAATTATCATTAAGTTTGGCAGAAATCCAGACACAGCACAGCATTAGCTCATGGTAAAGTTCCTCTCCCTGTCATCTGTTAGCCGACAACCATTAGCTGAATCCAGCAAATAACCCAGCCGAGGACGGTTTGCTGTGAAGGTGAAGTCTGACATCAGCCTACCTCCTGTAACACATCATCTTATTTAACTTGAATTCAAACTCAGAAAGGTTCAATCACAATCTGCTAAGTCAACACGTGAAGCTAGATTCAGACATCTAACGCTAACTGAAACTATAACAGGGTATAATTGAGCGTAGCACCCCAGCTTTTAGACGGCACCGTGCAAGCTCTTCAGCAGTAACATTAGCTTCCTGACGTTAGCAAGCAGAGTCAATGCATTTACACTGTTTTCCTTGAATTCTTATAGAAAAAATGGTGCCATCTTTCGTC